ATATGCCCATAATTAGTATGTTTGAGTGGATTTGGAGGAAACTAATGAGTAGAATACAAGTATAGAGAAAGGGTATAGAACTTATTCTGGTTTAATATGTCCTCATATTCAGGAAAAACTAGAACAAAACAAGTTTGATTCGAGGAATTGTTTTCCTACTTGGTGTGGTAGGCTTGAGTTAAGGTGGACTATTTTGATAGGGTGTTCATAGTGGATCTTAAAGCAAGAACATGTACTTGCAGAATGTGGGAGTTGTCTAAGATACCTTGTTGCCATTCGATAAGTGCCATACAACAAAATCATGAGCTACCAGAGACACATGTGCACGAATGTTAGACCAAAACTATAAATATGTCAACATATGCACACATAATACATTTAGTGCTTGGCATGCATGATTATGTTCATAGTGGAATACAACCAGTGAAACCCCATTACTCTGGAAACAAACTAGAAGACAAAAAAAATTGAGAAGAAGGGAGGCAGATGAGCCTAGAAACTCCTATAAGGATTCTAGGAAAAAACTTAATGTCACATGTGCAAAATGCTTGAAGATTGGTCACAACAAACGATCATGCAAGAACATGATCCATCCTCAATCAAAGTTATTGAGGGTAAGAGTGATTTTTTGTAATATAATTTGTCCATTATTTTTTCAAACACATTAATTATAAATTTCATTTTTGGTATTGTAGAAATCCACTGATGGTGCGGCCTCCAATGCTGCTACAGCCTCTAATACTGCTACTGCCTCCAATGCTGCTACGGCCTCTTCTTCTATTGCAGCTTGCACTATTGGTCCTAGGAGTGATGCAGTTGGGAGAGGTTCTGGGAGTGGTGTCGTTAACAGAGGTTTAGTGCAGCACAAAGGCCCACATAGGCTAGTCCAATCCCAACCTATTCAAACTGCTGGGATTCAACTTATTGGATAGAATTAGGGCTAAGAAAAGGTCATAATTTAGTCTGAATATTTATGTCTATGTTATATCAAACGAGCCTTTTGGAAATATGTTCTATGCTCTTTTGATTGTGCATAGTGTATGTGTTTTTTTGATTGTATTGAACATGTATTTTCTTTTTGGATATATGGGAAAATGGTTGTGAGCATTTTTCTCTTTTGAAAATTTTTGTACAACTAGTTGATGGTTGTGACTTGTGGGAATTTGGTATTTACATGTCTAGCAATTCATAGAAGTTTGTGATGAAAATGTTTGATATTGTGTCAAATAAAAAAAACACCTTCACATTACATTAAAGACAAAATAATCCTTCAAAACATAGACAACAAGTTTTTAGTTTTTACTTAAGACTAAAATCAACACTATCAAACAAATTACAGGTACAATAAACATTCTCCTTAGCATATATTTCATGGCCACTTGATCAGACTTCATGGCTTCTTGATTAGCCTCAATCATCATCACATTATTGCTTATTTTTGCAATTTCATCATCATTTGGAGTGGCAGGCATACCAGTCGATTCTCGAAATTGAAATGGATAACACCATGCCCAAAATTCACAATTTTTAGTCCCGCAAACATAATACAATCTTCCCTTCGATGGTTTCTAGAATCAAGCACCTTGATTATCGCTTTACACCCACAACCACATATTTGGGTGTTGAACCTCAAATCTATAGGCTTCCCTCCCCTTGAGTTGCTTGAATATGACATCTAATGAAAATAAGAAAAGCACAATCTTTATCATAGTAATTTATTAGCCACTATATTACTCAAAAAACATGCTTAAATAAATTACCTTTTTTAATGGTAGCTTCCTTCCTCTAGCTCCAGAAAACAGCATTCCTCCAGCTCCAAAAAGCAGCAAGTCTAGCCTTCCAATGGAAATGAAAAGCTTAAGCTTTTATCATAGCATTAGAGGGTTATTTTTGACATATGTGTATATTTATTTTGGAGGGAAGCTGATTACTTCGTTCATCTATTGTCAAACCAGCGCGTCCCCTCCATTTCCATCTATTCTGACAGAAAACATAAGAGTTGCAATTTAGTTCATAACCACAGGGGGGTGATGTGCTTATTTTCAAATCATAGGGGGGGGGGGGGTCATCTGCTCAAGGCACAAATCACAAGGGGTAAACTGGAATTTGACCAAAATATTAATATTGAATGTTACTATTTTTTTTGTTTAAATGGTATTATTTTTTGTGTTTAAATGATATTTTTTTTTTGTATTTGAATGTTACTATTTTTTATTTTTAGTGTTACCATATATATATTAGAGAGATATTGTCCTAGTTTGTATATGGATATTAATAGATATGAGAGAATATTTTTTTTAATGTTGTTTGTTAACCCAAATTCAACACTTAAAATGAATGTATTCAACATTTATTAATTAAGTTCGTATGATAACTAAAATTTAAACTCTCTTAATATGTTAAGTGCTCCTCAAAAATGGGCTACAATATTAAGTAGAAGATTTATTACTTAATTCTGAAAGCTGAAAGCGATCAGCAAAACTATCTTTAATAATATTTATAATATCACACAATTATACTCCAAAATATTTTACAATCCTATTAAAACTCTAATTAGTCTTGTTTTCAAAACCTCTAACCTATCTATCCTCCCTGCCGATCTCTACTTCAGTGGGTAATAGATAAATCTTCTTCCTTGTCTCCTTCTTTTTCTTCTTGTCCTTTCCTTGTCTTCTGCAACAAAAATATACATAAAAAATAATTAAACACACACACACATATTTGTTATTGTTGTTTTTTTGATAATATTTTATTGTTCACTTATTGTTTTATTCAGATGTTATTTATTTATTTATTTTGTTCAGATGTTTGTTAAATGTAGACTACAATATGGTAATAGTGATTTTGATTTATTTTATGACATATTTTATAAAAAATTTCAAATTAAAGAGTAGAAGGGTAAAAATAAAAATTAATTTATTTTTAGACATCAACTCTTTGTAGTTATCAAATAGTTTAGTTCAATTAAGTACTTGAGTTTCAGTGGATATCAAACAGTCCACAAATTCAGTATTCAACATTCAGTTTTCAGATTTCAACTTTTAGCTTTCAGTTTTATCAAACACCACCTTAGTCAACCTCTTAAAATTTAGTTTTAATTTACTTCTAAAGGGAAGTGATAGTTTGGTAAAATTGACAAAAATGAATTTCATAGCAAGTAAATTTCTTTGGCGGACTTAAGTCCATATAGTGGGACCGGCCTCCAAAATTCCCTTAATTATAGGAGTTAAAATGGGCTAAAATTGGGTACTCATTGGTTTTTCCTTCTTAAAAACAACTGAGAATATAAAAACCACTCGTTAGCCCATGTCTGAGTAGGGATGGTAACTGAGAGCACAATTTTCTCTCTCAATCCACTCCACCTCTCTTTCTCTTCTTGCTATTCTGACTAGAATTTATGTCTACTCCGAATGGGATTTCTCATTCAATTTCTCCTCTCTACATCATTCATACTTCCACAAATGAGTCCCCTCTGATTATTTGATTGAAATTTCCAAAAATATTTACTTATTACATCGAATATCTCCACTCTCTTGCTTTTTAGCATTACCTTTGTTTTTCCTCAACTGGATGTGTTACTTTTTTTTTTGGGTCTTTATTTGGATGTGTTATTTGAGTGACATTTATTTGGCTAATAGACTAGTTTTGACATTTTTTGCCCACAAAGTGTTTAATTAAATGCCCCAAAGCTGCTAAGTTTGTCTCACATTATATTTAATTTATAAATGAATTATATATTCTATATTATGAATGCATGAAGATGCTTCTATTAAATCTGTAATTTTTTTTTTAAATTTTTTTTAATTAAATCTATGACTAGAAACTATTCTTCTGGGTTTAAGTGGGTCTATGAATGAGCAGCTACTTGGAGTAGTTTCTAGTAAGTGTATTTTTTCTTTTGTCTCTCATTGATTATCGATGTTCATGTACCAACCTCAATCCTATTCTAAATGTAAGGGGAAATAAACGAGAGATCTTTTGTTAATTCTTATGGGTGCTTATGGCTCTATTTTCATGTGGGCTCAAGTTGAATAAACGACTATAAACAAATTGGTACATGTATCTAAATAGGTAAACATGTACTACTATAATTTGTGGTATTTTGAAGGAAAATCGTGTTTATGTGAAGGTTAATTCCAATTCATTGAAAATCATGTGTAAAAGTGTCTCACTATCATCCACCTTTATCTTTCAGATAAATGGTTTTTGGACAAATATTTATTTATTCATCTAATACTAGGATGTGTTCTAAGTTATTTTCATTTTCACATTCATCAATTTTTAACTCAACCCTACACCCTCTTCTACCTGGGCAATTGCTTGCATACTTTTCTCACCCTTTGTACTTGTTTGGTCAATGCAACAAGAAATTTCTGAGCAATTCAATCACTTAAAACAAATTTTTTTCTTGACATTATATCATTCCCCTTCGTGTTTAGCAGTTGAAGTGAAGTTGATTATACACATTCTTAGACTGGTATCCTTGGTAGCCTAAGGCCCTAAATTTTGTCAATGTGTATGTGTATCAAGAGAGAGAGAGAGAGAGTGTGTGTGTGTGCCAGTTTGTCTTTGTGTGTGTGTGTGTGCCAGTATGTCTTTGTGTGAGTGTGTGTCAATATGTGAGTGTATGTGTGTGTGTGTGTTAGTATATGAGTGTATGTGTGTTAATATGTGAGTGCGTGTGTGTGTTTGTGAGCATATGTTTTAGTGTATTAGTGCATGTATTTCAGTGTATGTGTGCTTGTGTATGTATTTTAGTGTATTAATGTGTGTGTATGTTTATTAGTAGTGTATATGTATATATTTTTTTGATGTATTACTCTGTGTGTGTGTGTTTTGGTGTATTAATGTACGTGTTTATATATGTTTTGATATATTAGTCTGTGTGTTTTGGTGTATTTGTATAGTTGTGTATATGTATTTTATTGTATTAATGTGTGTGTATATATTTTGGTGTATTAGTGTATGTGTGTATCTTGGTGTATTAGTGTTTTGGTGTATTATTAAATGTGTTTGTGTTTTTGGTATATTAATGTATTAATGTATGTGTATTTATGGTGTATTAGTATATGTGTTATTTTTGGTACATCACTGTGTGTGTTTTGTTGTGTAATTTGTTTTGTGTATTAGAGTGTATTTTATTCGATGTGTTAGTATGTGTTTTAATTATTTATACATGTTAATGGGTTTAACTCAACCCGTTATGATCCAACTCATTATAACCTATTTATTAAGTGAATTAAAAATGAAATTGGATTTATTTTACACCTAACTCATTTTGAACCAGCCCATAACCAACCCAACCTACTAATTTTCCACCTTTAATGGTGCCCAACATGGGTCCCCAGTGTTCAATGCCAAAATCATTTTAACATGATGTTTAAAGGGAAACCAATCGATGCTTTCCCTAAACTTTATCATCCTAGGGGTAGAAACGGGTTAAGGATGACTCAAGATCATCCTAGGGAGGTTGTGAAAGGCATGGTATGCCTCCCATGGATTCGATAAAGGAAGTGAACCCTATACTTGGGGGCCAACCGTTGGAACCATTTGAAAATCTTGAAGTTCATAGAAATATGGTGGTCAATTGAAACCAGTTAATGGAAATGATTCAAGATCTATATGGTCCTAATCTTCGAAGGACAGAAAGACCAATTTTTAGAAAGTCATACTTCCCATGGGTCGATTTTTAGGAATTCCCTAAAGGGTAGGGGAGGCTGAGTCCCACATCTAAGAACTGTCAGATATAGTGTCAAAAAAATTGAATGCCTCCTCCGAACTCTTACTCATAAACTCTCATTGAGCCATCATTTCGAAAAACTGACGTAGTCTAGTGGGCAAGGAGTCATAGAAAAATCCTACCAAAGTCCAATTCTCAAAAGCATGGTGTGGGCAGGACTGGAGTAGATCCTTGAATCTCTCCCAACTTTGG